GACTTTTCACTTGCGGATGTCGCCGCATATGACACAAACGATGTTATTCATTAATCTAAAAAAACAAAAACAAAAATATAAGTTAGATTCTTATATAAATAAACAATAGACAACAAATAACATGCTTAGAAAAAAGTATACACATACAAAACATAAAGACAAAAAACCAAAATATTAGGGTGAGAACCGTGATTTTGTGTGATTATAACAAAATGTATGGAAAAATAATGAGATGAATGAGTTGGGGTTGAAGGTATTTATACTTAACTTTTACATTCTAAATAAGTAAATAATTTTTTTTAAGGAAAACATATATTTTGTGTATTAATGAGCTAAACCAAATCATGGAATTAAGGTATTGATGTTATTTACTCCTAAAATCATGGACCGACTATTTAGACCTAAATTCCTTAATAAAGTCAAAAAAATCAACATTGATTAAAAATGAAATCATAAAATTTAAATTTAATTGATTTTGTAACTTTTATATATATATATATATATATATATATATATATATATATATATATATATATATATATATATATATATATATATATATATATATATATATATATATATATATATATATATATATATATATATATATATATATATATATATATATATATAAAATTTTAAAAAATAAAAAAAAAAAATATATATTTTTATTTTTATATATTTAAAAATATATAAATATATATAAAGAAAAATATATAAAAATAAATAAAAAAAGAGAGAAATATAAATTTTTAAATATATATATATAGAGAGAGAGAGAAAGAGAGTGAGTGTTTTTTTTTTTTTAAATAAAAAAAAATTAAAATATAAAAATATATATATATATATATTTATAGTGTGAGAGAGAGTGAAAGAGTGAAAGAGAGAAAAATATATATAAATATAAAAATAAAAATGAATAAATATAAATAGGTGAATGTTTGTGATTGGTGGAAATGAAATTAAGAAATATTGAAAAAAGATGTAATATGTTGTTATATGTGAGTGAGTGTG